GAGCGGAGGGAGGGGGCACCTCAGCCTTCCCCGGACGGGAGGCGACCCCCGGCTCCGCTGAGCGGCGCAGGAGGGGGCGCCCGTCCGGGCCCCGGGCCAGGGGCAAGCAAGGATGGGGAGACCCGGGGTCGGCGCCGGCCGCTGAAGTTGCCCGTGTCCACGCAGGCTGCGCCCGGAGATCCCGGTAGCCTCGGATCGCGGCGCTGCGTACGCGATGATGGATGAGCCGTGGTGGGAAGGACGCGTCGCCTCGGACGTCCACTGCACCCTGCGCGAGAAGGTCAGCCTCTCCCCGCCCTTGTCACTGGCAGGACTGGGTGGTCAGTCTCTTTCGCTCTCGACTCTTGTGTTCTCAAGTCGCCCCGCGTGGAAACGCAGAACTCCCACGTGCCTTTCTTTCCTTCTCCCAGAGTGTCTGAGGTTCGCAGGGTTAGAGGAGACTGGAGATTTTGGAGAGATTGAAGTTGGTTTTTCTGATTAGGAGCTTAGAGCTTCCGACCAGCTACAGGGATGGTCACCATCTCTGAGGCAGTAAGTCCCATTATTGCGATATATTCATAGTATGACCGCCCCTAGATTATTTTAAATGGTGCTTGAATGGGCCTTTACACTATTGTGTATTCATTCTTATGTGTAATTAAAAAATACATGTATGCATATATCTAGCAAACTCTGTATAAGATAAATGGAGCGATTTTCCATTATTGTAATAATGATGTAGCGGCTGGGCACGGTGGCTCACATCTATAGTCCCAGCTACTCAGGAGGTGGAGGTGGAAGGATCACCTGAGTCCAGGAGGTCGAGGCTGGAGTGAGCCATGATCATGCCACTGAACTCTAGCCTGGGCAATAGAATGAGACCCCCATTCAAGAAAGAAAGAGAGATTAGGTAAATAGTTGTACAAGGGATAACACAGTTATGGCAAAATACACACACACACAGGATGGGACAGATGACTGAAATTTAAGAAACAGCAGTCTAATTGAAAGAGGCTACCCAACTAGGAGGCTGAGGGAAGGAAACATAAAGTCCCCTGCCAGTTTGCCTCCTGTGGCAGAAGGTGGGTGGGAGCTGCTGAAACGTGATCCCTGCACTCTCCTCCCGTCAAAGAGAGAAGAGCTGGGCCTTGGGGAGATGGAAGAGCCCGGGTGGAGGCCTGGGCGCATGTCTTCTCCAGCGCCTGGGCTGAGACCAGGAAGAGTGGTTTGGAGAACAGGTGTGAAGTGGGGACAAGACTGGTTTCTTATGGCTGCCATTACAAAGTATCACCAGCTGGATGGCTTACTGCAGCACGGATGTGTTTTCTGGCAGCTCTGGAAGCTGAAAGTCCAAGATGAAGGTGTTAGCAGGTTTGTGCTCCCTCTGATGGCTCTAGAGGATGACCTTTCCTTCTTCTTCAATGTTGGTAGCTGTTGGCAATCCTTGGTATTCCTTGGCTTGTAGCCGTATCATTCCAGTCTCTGCCTCCATTGTCTCAAGGTTCTATCTGTGTGTCTGTGTCTGTTTTTTCTTATAAGGAAATCAGTCCTTGGAATAGGGCCCGCCCTAATCCAATAGGATCTCATGGTAATTTAACTAATTGCATCTGAAATTAGTTAAATTAGGGTTAGGGTCACATTCTGGAGTTCCTGGTTGACATGAATCTTGAGGGGATACTATTGAACATAATTCAAAGAGGGAGAGGTCTTCCTAGTGGGGTGCCTGGGTCCCAACTCAGGTCCTAATTCAGCACATTTGTGCCGGTGTCTGTGGGAGCTCTGCTTAAACAGTCACCAGCTACGTGGGCTTTTTCCTCATTGAGCGATTGTCTTGTGGCCACATTGGTGCTTTTTTCTTTCCCTGTACCTGCTGATCTAGTTCTTGTGTTGCCGGGTGAGGACGCAGCTTTCCTCTTCTTCCCAGAGCAGAGTTCCCAAGGTGCAGCACGTTCTAGGCATCTGGAGAAGAAAGCCAGGTCTTGGTGGTTCTGTTAAACAGCAGGGAAAGTGGTGGTGGGTGTGCAAGACCTGGCAGCAGGGTTTTGGTCCTTCCCGGAGGTGGTGGCTAAGTGGAGTGAATGAGGGCCTTCCTGGAAATTGGGCTTTCTTGTTTGTCATGGGCTCGAGTGGTTGTCATTTCTGCTCACAGCTGTGGAGGAATGACTTTGATCTGATTTGCCCCTTTCTAGAGGGAAGGATTTATTTTTTCTTTCTTTCTTTTTTTGAGTCGGAGTCTCACTCTGTCACCCAGGCTGGAGTGCAGTAGCACAATCATGGCTCTCCGCGGCCTTGACCTCCAGGGCTCAGATGGTCCTTCCACCTCAGCCTCCTGAGTAGCTGGCACTTCAGGCACGTACCACCATGCCTGGCTAATTTTTTTTTTTTTTTGAGGTGGAATCTCACTCTGTCGCCCAGACTGGAGTGCAGTGGCCACTCCCGGCCACTGCAGCCTG